AATATATGTTATATATATTTAATAATTTAAATAATATTTGGATGTCATATTTGTTTGTTTGTTTTAATTTAGTACCTGAATTTTAGAATTTTGTTTTTGAGTCCGAAACACTTTGTTTTTTTTTTTGTGGTTGATTTTTTTTATTTAATTTACTTTTCCTTCATTTTTTTGTTTAAGTTTGCCAAAAAATTTGTTTTAAAAATTTCGCTATGCCGAAAAATGTGATTTTTGTGTGTTGATGTTTTTTTGTTTGTATAAAGGTGTTGTTGGTATTTTAAAAATATAAAATATATTTAATTTATTAATTTTCATATATTTTTTCTTTTTCTTTTGTTTTATCATTTTTATTATAATTGTAAATTTGTTTTGTATTGTTGTTGTAATTTGTGTATATGATTAAAATGATTGGCACATAGTTTGTTTGTTTTTTTATTAAAAAAAAATAATAATACGAGAAGTTTATGGAATGGATATAATTAAATTAAAAAATAAAAACATTAAAGTATTTAAAAAATATTAAAAATATTAAATATTAAAAAATATTGCATATTTTAAATGAAAATAATAAAAAATATAACCACCATGTCATCTATTCTGTGGTAAAAGTTCTAAAAATTTAATTGCATGAAATTAAATTGGTCCTCTTTGTCCTCAAAAATAAGATTCCAACTTGCAAAAATTGGGTGGATTACAAAAAAAAGTTATATTTTGCTCTAAAAAAAATTTAATAAAAACTCACAATTAATTTGTAATGAATTAAAAAAATTATCTATTTTTAAAAAAATACCACTGAGCAGAAATCTCCATATTCCGAATTTAATTGATCAAAAGTGATTGATAGCGAATTGTATGAATTTCTTGAAATTTATAACAACGTAAATTGATCCTCGCCAACCTCTAAAAAAAGAAGCAAACTATCCAAAAAATTACTAACAACATTAACTAAATAAAATTTACAAAAATGTCCTGATTTTTTTCTTTGTTTTAATTAAATTCAATTTTTTGGGCACAAATAAAAGCCGTGGCTAGACTTGGAATTGAAAATCATTACTTACCGCAGTACAAAAAAATGTCAATATTAGTTACGGAAACATTTTTTTATAAGTTACGGAAACATTTTTTTAAGTACAGGACTTTCATAAGGAGTATCACCAACGGCACAAAGGGAAAACTAAATTTGAGTACAAGAAAAATGTCAGTATTAGTTACGGAAACATTTTTTTATAAGCAGAACGTAAGAAGAAAATTCTTAAAGGGTGAAATTAAGTACAGGACTTTCATAAGGAGTATCACCAACGGCACAAAGGGAAAACTAAAATTGAGTAGCAGACAAAGAAAATAAATCTATTTTAAAGAAGGCCAACAATTTTGTTTTTGAAATCCAAACGGCTTGTTTTTTGAAGACCAAAAGACCTTCTATAATTGAAGAGAAAAGTTGCTTCTCCTCTAGAAGGCCAAAAATTCTACGTCTAGAAGATCTAAATCTTTGTGCTTTGTGGATACCATATGCATTTTCGTATAGAAGGCCAAAATGTCATCTTATAGAAGACTATAAAAGGTCATCCCCTAGAAGACAAAAAAGCTATTCTCCTAGAAGCCCAAAAAGTCTTCCCCTTGAAAATAAAAAAATGGTCGTCAAAAAGGTGAAGGCTAAAAGGTATTCTTAAAGAAGACCCAAAAAATACCAATATCAACAAGAACTTGTTTTGAATATGCTCAAATTAATATAAAAATTTTTCTAAAAAAACAGTTCTTTAAAAAATAAAAAAAAACACAGATTTTTTCTTTCGTTTTATAATTTTTTTAATAATTGAAAATCACTAATTATTATGTATGTACTGTATGTATTTATATATAATAGATATATTTAAAAAAAGTCTTCAAGAACGTGCAAAACTTAATAAAAAAATATTAATATATATATATAGAAAGGGGGATGATTGTTGTTTGATATTCTAACTCGATAATTAAATTTAACAAAAATTTATAACAATTTAAAAACCATGCTTCTTCTTATAATTTAATAATTTTTGTTGTTTTAATGTATATATTTAATGATGATCTACAATTGTTTTCATTTTATTAAAACTGATTGTTGTTGTGTTCCATTTAAAAACAAAATCTACTATTAAATAAAATACACAATAAATCTAAGAAAAAAATCTTGTGTGAGTGTGATCAATCCAACTAAAACTAATTATATTTTTTTCTTTGTAAATTAAAGAGAAGCAAAAAATTAGATTTTTTATCGTTTTGTTAATAATATTGCAGCACAAGTGGAAGACAAGAAAATTTGTATTGTTTTTTTTTTCTAAAAGAAAAAATAATAATTATTATTATTTTTCATGTTTAAAGCATTACACAAAATATTATTTTATTATAAATTAGTAATGTAATTAGCATTAATATTTAAACAAAATTAATGGTTGTTTTTTTTCGTTTGTTGGTTATTGTTCCACTATCAACTGCAACAGTTTTTAAATGGGATTTTTCTTCTTTGTTTTCATTTATAAAACACTAAACGAGTTTTTAGTTTTCTTCTTCTTCTGTATTTGCTTTTTGTTTTTCTTCTTATAATCATCATTTATCAAATGCTACTCTATATATGTAAATCAATTTTGTAATCAAAATAAGAGAAGGCATTAGGGGTAACAGTGTTAAAATATTTTTTTTACAAAATTAAAAACAAAATTTTAAATTAATATAAAAACAGATTAAAAACTTAGTATGGATTTAAAAAAAGGTTAACATCAGTAAAATAAAAAAATGTAATTTAAAAAAAGTTTAAAAACGTTTTTTGAAAACGTAAGTTTAAAATGGGGAAAAGGGATGGTGGATTTGGCGGGTATGGGTTTCAAGAGGGTGGGGGGACTATAATTATTGTTAAAATGTTAAAACTTTTCTTTGTGATAAAATAATAAAAAATAAAACAAATTAAAACCAACTTAAAAGCTAATTAAAAAATTAGAAAATTCATAAAAAATTCATAAACAATTATTTTTTTTAATATATGTAATAATAATATAACTTCATATTAAAAATAGCTTATTAAAAAATAAATAGGAGACCCAGTCTGCCACTACTACTCGAGGATTTGAGATCGTCTCGAAATTAAAATAATAATAATAAAAAAAGAGCAATTAAAAAAAGAAACAATTAAAAATGAAAAGAGAAGAGAAAAACAGAAGAAAGGTAAATATGAAAGACATTAACAGGAATTGAATTTTGCTTAATAAACAATACACACACACATAAATTATTGTTAAATGGAATTCCTCTCTAATATAGAAGATTTCTAATTTAGAAGGTTTCTTTTAATAAATTATAGAAATCTTTAGATATTGATATTATATCTTTGTAGGTTACAAACTTTTACCACAAGTGAGGCATTGGTGTTCCAAAAAAGTTCAAAAAATTCAAAATAAAAATCGAATCAAATATGGTTATGGAACAGGCTATTTATAGCATTTAATCAATGGTCGATATTTTCTGTTCTGTAATCAAAAATGATTATTTTTGATCTCTGTCATTCATTAATTACTGATTAGTGATCAATAATCACTAATCATAGATCAAGCACTCTAATCAGAGATCAGTAGTAAATTGGTAAGTGATCAATAGTAAATTGATCATCGATCAATAGTAAATTGATCAGTGATCAATAATCATAGACCAGTGATCAATAGCTAATGGTAAGTGATCAATAGTCATTGATTAGTGATCAATACTCATTGAACAGTGATCAATAGTCATTAACAATGATCAATAGTTATTAATCAGTGATCAATAGTCATTGATCCGTTAATCATAAATCAATGATTACTGGCCATAGATGTTTGACCATTGACTTTCTTTGATCGATCAATGACATGGGTCGTAACTTTTTTCTCGAAATTTCTACAAACATTTGACAATTCCATTACCTGTCTCCTCTTGGAAAACTAGGCATATGTGTGTGTGTGTATTGTTCGGTATGTGCGTGTGTGTAGAGGTAAAATAAGAAAATAAAAAAAAGAAAGAAAATTATGGAAAAAAAGAATAAGAAAACTAGAAAGAACATACATTTTAGAAATATGAATACAATTTGTTGTTGTTGTGGGGGTGAAAGGAGAATAGTGTTGTTTTGTATAAATGTGTGTAGGGTAATTTGTTTTTTTTTTACAATCTAACATGACTTTAATTGTTGTTGTTGTGTATATTATTACTAAGATTATCTTCATCATTTTTATCTTCGCATTTCCATTTTCATATTTTTGTGTTTTTTTTTTGTTTGCAAATATATAATCGTAATTTTCTGCTTATTGTTTTTAACCTAAATAAAGAACGTTTGGATTTCATTGTTGTTATTTCAACAAATCGACAAAACTTTATGAGGGGAGGTTGGTTTTTAGGCCAATCTATTACATTACTTTGTTAGATATACTTAGCTTTTTTTGTTTTTGTAATAATTCGTTTTATATTTTGTTGTTCTTCTTGATTTCTTATGTAGCGTGTTTAACATTTGTTCACTTTTATATTTTGTTTTCTTTTCCTTTTTTTCGTTTGCTATTAATTAGAGGGGAGTTTTTTTCTACTTCTAAAAGTTTGTGGTAAAACTTTTTTTCATTTCTGTTTCTGTTTGTTTACTATTTCTTTTTTCGTTTTATAATATAATTATTAATGGTTTTGTATGTATGTATGCATATAATTCTATGTTTGTGTGTGTATATGTATATTGTTGTATTGGTAAGGGGGGGTTATAGTTAAAAAGATTCTTAATCCTTTTGTTTTGCTTAACCTTACAATGATATTGTTATCATTTTTACATGCATTTTATGCATGTTTTGTTGTTGTTGCTGAATTTTCTTCTTGTTGTTGTTGTGATTATTATTGTATTATATAAAGAGTTGTGTATCTGTGCGATATTTTGTCAATTTTGTAAAAAAAAGAAAAAGAAAGAAATGTGTTTTTCTAAATTGAAATCCAAATTCCAACAAATATATGTTCCGATTAACTTAAAGTTAACTTTGTTGGGATTGTTGTGTTTGTTGCTGCTGCTGCTGTTGTTGTTCTATGGATTGTTGCAATGACATTCCTGTAATATAAAGAAAATAAAGCAGTGCATATTAGAATTTTTATAAAAGAAATGCATTTTTTTGAGAATGATACAATAAAGGGGACGTTCTATTTTAGAGGACAAAAAAGAAGTTACTCTTCTTAAATAAAAAAGTCGTTAAGTTTTATACCCTTCATAATTAGTTGGACATTCAAAATGCCTAAACTCGGTCGTTATATTGATATGGAAAGTATCCTGATAAGTGGGGAGACCCAATGAGAATATTGGGGCTACACCAAAACGTGAAACGATTATCCCATTTTCAATATCAAACTTCCTAGAGGTAGTAAGATAGAAAACACAAAGATCTTTTGATATATATCCAAACATCTAGATGATCAAACTGTCTTACAGAGTAGATATTTGCTATGCCTTTTCTACGAGAAGACCGTTTGATGGTCTTCTATTTCCATAAGATGCTTTCGTCATCTATAAACTACATTTTGAACTTTTATGAGAATACCTTTTGGTATAAATCCATTTGGTCTTCAGTGAGAAAACCCATTTGGGCTTCTGTGAGAAGTCCGTTTGGTCTTTTTGACTTGTAGGATTATTTTTATACGAGAAGACCCACTTCTTTTATGTTTAGAGTCGGTTGGTTTAGTCCTCTTTTTCTATTGGAATATCAAAATGTGTAATAAAACATCGATGTGTATTCAAAATGACTACAAATAAAAACAATAATAATTACACTCTTTTTTAAAGTCCCAAATCCTATTTCTAAACGAATAAATCTATTAAAATTCCCCATGTTGATTGTCAACTTACCCGTTGAATTTGTATTGTTGTTGTTGCTATTGGAATTTGTTGGTATCATGGATGTTGATGATAACGATTGATTACTATTCTCCGATGGTGTTATGGGGCCAGCCGAATGTGGTGTATAACCGGATTGACTCATTTGTTTTTGACGTACTTCGCGTATTTTCAATTGCAGATCCTGGCGACGAGGAAAGACGTCAATGTGTTTTGTCTGAAAGAAAAACGATGTTTTTATTGAATAAATATACAAGTGAAAAAAGGAAAGATAAAGAGAGAGAGAGAGAGAGAGAGAGAGCAAAAAAGAAAGAGCATGTGTGTAATTGTGTTGTCTCACCTGAAATGCAATTGTAGCTTGGGCCGATGGAAATAGACCATGTTCAGCAAAAAGTTGCAATACCAAATTACGACGCTGTTCCAAAAGTTTGCGATGACCTTTCTCGCTGGCATCAGAGCGGGCACTTTGCAGCGGGGTTTGAGGGGTACGCGGTGAACGTCCCGTTTGATCCGATGATTCCAATTCTAGGTAAGAAAATAAATTTATTTTATTAAGGAAATTTATTACTGTAAGGAAATTTAGAGAAAATAAACTTACCTCTTAGAGTGTCAATATTAAAATCTGGACCAAAGAAACGCTGAGTCGGCGTTGGTGGTATTGAAGCCGTATCATCGGTAGCCTCATCTTCGCTTTCTGCTTTGGAAAAAAGAAGAAAATTAAAAAAGAGAAAATGATAATTATTTCGGTTTCAATTTGCATTATTTAATATTCGCTGAAAACATACGTATTCTTTGTACTGGTGGTGGGGCAGTAGCATTCTTCTTACGATAATTTGTACCATAGACACGCGGTGATGATGGCACTGCAATGGCGCTGGGCGATTGACAATCCTTTGGCTTGAATTGAGGCAAGGCCTCGTATTTCTTTTCAAAATCAGCCAATACACTTGAAGCAAGGGCACTAGAGGGATGGAGGGAGCGGGAGAGATACACAAGCAAAAATCAAAATATTAAAAATTAAGAATTCACTTAAAAAAAATTGTTTACAACTTACTTTGATTTCCCATCCGGTTGTTGCTGCTGCTGTTGTGCTTTCTTTTTTGCTCCATGCAGGGATTTTGGTGATTTCGGTAACGAACTGTTGTTGGTGCCGATCGATGCACCACTGCTACCACTACCAGCACCACCACTACTCGATGACGGTGTCAGCGGCAGCTGTTCATCACTGTTCGGCGTAGTAGACGATGAGGTAGGTGTTGGCAATGCCGATGTTATAGTCACCGTTGAAACATGTCCGATTATCGGAGATGATCCCTCCATTATGGGTGAATGTAAATTATTATTGGCACCATTGCCGCCACCACCTCCTCCACTATTGGAATTCGATAGAATGGTGGCGGTACTAAAATTACCACCTTCTTGTTTTATAGAGCCCATACTGCCCACAGCTAAATGGAAGATACAAAAACGAAAATTAAAAAAAAGATATTCTGATCATCTATAAGTATAGAAGACATTCTACTAATATTCCATAGGAATAAAATACCTTCTGGTTCCTTTCATTCCTATTCTACTCCCCTTCCCATAGAAGAAAAGCGGAACACCTTCTGGTCTTCTTTGGTAATAGAAGACCTTCTGGCTTTCTTTCGGAATACAAGTCCTGGTCTTCTGTAGGAATAAAATACCTTCTTGTCTTCTATAGGAATAGAAGACCTTTTCGTTTTCTATAGAAATAGAAGACCATCAGCGTGAATGAAAAACATAAGTTCTTCTGGTAACTACTGATCTTCTCTATAGCATGTACCATGTGGACCTTTTGTCTTATCTCCATATTTATTTATTGGATTACTTACACAAATTTTTACGACGTTGTAGCGGTGCTCTACCCAGTTGAGCGGGTGTTGGTGCCAATATGAATTGTTGTTGCATTTCATTGTTATCCTGTTGTTTTTGTACATCGCTGCCGCCGCCTTCATCAAAACTACCATCTGCTGTCGTGTTACGTTGGAAACTAGTTTCCGTTGCCGATTTGGGTGTCGTTGGCAATGATGTTCTGTGGGATGGTGATATTGGAAGGGGTTCTGTAATTGGGCGGGAAACCATTTAAAACTTTTCATAACAAGTGAGAGCATATTTGTTTCTACATACCTTGAGTATAATTGTGTAAAATTAAAGCATTCGGATTTGAGGTAGGCACGAGTTCACCTTGTCCATTGTGTTTCTTGAAAATGTACTGCATTTGTAGAGCATTCGGTTGTGGGGGATGTTGTGTTTGCTGTTGTTGTTGATGCATGGGTAATAGGGCAGCATACTGTAGAATATGAAACAACAAACATAGTTGTTAAAAATATTACTTTTTCTAACTAAACTTTTGTTTTTATAGTTTTTCAACATAACCTCAATTTTTTTGAAAACTTCGATTTATCTATTTTTTCTGTTACTCACCTGATGATGTGGCATTGCATTATTGACAGCAAACAATATCTGTTGCTGTTTTGGTTGTCCTCCATTACCGCCGGCGGTAGCTGCTGGTGATGATGGCACTGACGCTGCTGATGATGAAACGACCGTCAATGAAGTTGCCTGGGAACCTAAGGTTTTTATTGAAGTGGAGGGAATAGAAGAAGAGGAGTGCGTTGAAGTGACAATTGTATTACCCAAAACTGTGTTGGTGGTACAATTTTTATTGGACAAAAAATTTGTTCCAGTTGCAGCAGAGGAGGAAGAGCAATTGGTTAAAATGTTAGCAGCAGCATTGGATTTGTTGTTGTTGTTGGTGTTATTGCCCGTTACCACAATAGTGTTAGTTGTTAATTTGTTATTGTTAGTGTTAGAATTATTGTTGTTAGTATTGGCTGGAATTATGGTTATGGTACTACCACCATTGCCGCAACTATTATTGGAAAGTTGCTGTTGTTGTTTGTGTCCTGCATTTGGTGCTGTTGATGTTGCTGCTGCTGCTGCGGCATTGGTTAGTATACGAGCATTTGCCGGTATTGTTATTTTACTTATAAACGATATTGAGGGCCGTATTGTTGTGGGAGCCCCAGCATGTGCACTTTGGCTGACGTTCGATCCTGTTGTTGCCAATAAGGGAATTTGTTGCTGTTGCTGCTGTCGCATTTTATGCTGCAGCAGTTGTTGGGCAATACTTTGCTGTTGTTGCCGATTTAAACTATTGGCATCGGTAATCAGCAACATGGTTTGTGGTGGTGGCTGCTGTGTAATATGGGTGTTGGTTTTTGGTTGTACATCTTCTTGCAGTGTGGAGGAGGATGAGCGGATTGTATCATTTTCTTGTTTCACTGGAGATATGGTTTCCTCAGCAATATCGTCATCATTTAGGGTATCCAATACCAAGGCATCATAGAGTATGGCCGCTCTGCCGGTAGCCTTGGTGGCAGCAAATTGTTCTGATGGTGGTTTGTTGGCGGCAGCACCATTTGCATTTGGGTTGATATTTCGCAGCAATAGGGTTTTTGTTGTTGTTGTTTTTGGATTGTTATTATTATTGTTACAGGGGAAAGCAGTAGAGGTAGTAGTAGTTGTGGTGTTCATTAAGGAGGAAGAGGAGCACATTGTGGGATATTGGCTTTTAGTATCATTCAAATCATTTTTAAAGGATGAGGATGATAATGATGATGTGGTAGATGATAATGAAGCGGATGATGATGATGAGGACAACACTGTGGAAGCAGATGATGATGATGATGATGTTAACAATGATGCAGAAGGGGATGATGTGGTTTTTTGGTTTGATATGCTATTAACTTGGAGTTTAGGGTTTATTTCCGTTTTATTTGCCGTTGTTGTTGCTGCTGCTGTTGTCTTTTGTATGGTACGAAAAAACAAAGGAGGCGGCGTGGTCAGGGTCCTTATAATTGTTATTTGCTTTGGATGCTGATGTTGACTACTGTTGCCAACCTTTATAATTGGTGTTGGCGTAACAACAATACTTTGCCGTGTGGCTACTGTGTTGTTGTTGTTGTTGATGACCTGTTGATGTTCATGGCCATAGGGTGTGGGAACTCGGGTTATAACCGTGGGGGGTGTTTCCACACGACGAAAATGTAAATTCTTTAAGTGGCGATGTGGGGAGGAAGTGTGTTGTTGTGGTGTCATCGAACGTCTTAAATGTACAAAGCTATGTTGTAGTTGTTGTTGCGGTTGTCGGCTGGCAATTGGCGGTGTTATGGTATGTAAACGAATATTAGTTGTTGTTGTCGTCATGGTCGTTGTAATTCCCTGTTGACCACATGTTGTCCCACCACTTGTTTGTATTGTTGTTGTTGTCGTTGCTGTCGGTGTTGGAGTACGCGAAGTCGATGATATTAAGAGGGTTTTTGTTTTTGGTATGGTATAAAATTCAATATCATCAAAATCGGTTTCAGTTTCATAATCATCGTAGTCCTCATCATCATATAAGATGGCATCATCCGGATCATCATCTTGATTGGTATCCATTTTAATGGGCGGTTTTAAATCAGTGTCGGATTGATCTGATAGGTTAATGGTTTTTGGGTGGTTTTTGATGGGAGTTTGTATTTTGGAGGGGGGATTATGCGTTGAGGTTAGTTTGACAAAATGGAGCGCACATACACACATTAAAGAAACCAAAATAACCCAGCAAACAAATAAACAAAAAGAAAGCATTTAAATATTCGAAAGACAGAGAGAGAGATTGGATGGTTGGTTTGGCACAGTTGTTGTAATGACGAGGGTGGTTTGTGGGTGTAAGGTGGTATGCAAAAAATTTGTTAGAAAGAAGAAACAATATATATATGTAATAAATAACAGCAATGAATAGAAGAGGTTAAGTACGTTAGAGAGATGATGATATACCATACATATAAATATTAGTTACACAAATGAGATTACAATGAATTTTTTAATGGCATAACAAAACAAATATTAAGAAATCAAAAACAAAAACAAAAAAAGCAAACATACCACTTGTTGTTCTTGGATCTGTAGGACTGCGTAATGGTGGACCACCAGCAGTATATTGTGAAGATTTGTTTTGTTGCTGTGGCACATTAAAGGTAAAAATATTACCACCGCCACCAACTCCTGCGGATGCTGCTGACGACGATGTTGAATTGTTGGCATTTCCTCCTGCATTACCATTCAATTTATATGGCGAGGGTGGTTCTTGTTTAATATAGGCAACATCCATGAGATCTTCTTGTTTAATAATAATTTGTTGTTGTGATTGTTGTTCATCGTGTTTTGTACTCTTTGGACTTATGGGCATAGTCTTAAAAGCACCACCTAAACAGGAAAATATGAATATTATTATTGGTTGGAAAGAAAAAATGTGGGTATATTAAAACAAAAACAATCAAACAACAAAAGTGAATATATTTATCAAACATCAAGGGCATATATATATATATATATACTTATCAGGGCAAACGATTCTACAAATAAATGTGTTTTTTAAGATAAAAATCAATATGAAAAATACTTCTCAAAAAGTTATGAGTAGATTTATATTTATATATGAAGCATACTCTGGAAGAAAGGATAGGAACAAAAAAATATATATTAATAAGCCTCTCACAAGTATTTTAACTTTTAATAGCAATAAATACATTTCTCAGGATGCATTGACATGGAAGATATTCTATAGTATGACACATTCACTTCTACAAATAGAAACTTTAAGTTTTTCATTGGAAGAGTAGTAAATTCTCCTCTAGGCAGACTTTATTACAAAAATAACATTTAGTACCCAAAGGGTTTATTAGAAGGCACTTCTATAGGGAGTTTCTTCAACCTGACGAATTTCAGGTTTTCACATAAGAAAATATTTCTTAATATGAACAGAAAGCTCTTTGCCATAGACATTTAAGGAGAATTTCTGTACACAAGTAGTCTTTCACTTTTGTTATTTGTTTTGTTTAGTGTTTTCTCTTTTTTGATAAAATTGCTCGCCTGTGGGTTGGAAAGGTGTTACACCAATTGGATTTTTGGGACTTGGGTATGATAGCATCGACATTTGTTTAAATTTCATCATATTATTTTCCAAATTTGGTGGCAAAGCTTTTAACGGTGTTGGTTTACAGGTAGCCGGTGGTGTGGCCTGTTGTTGATGCTGCTGTTGTTGGTCGTCCTACAAAAAGAGAATATGAAAATAGAGAAGAAAAATAAAATATTTAAATATTAAATACAATTGAAAGCACCAAAAAAGCACAATTTGTTTTTTATTTTAAATGTTCAATACTTTCGTACCGATATATCTTATTTGATAAATATATATATAACACATAACTGCTTACCTTATCATTGACAGCATGACTAATGGCTGTGAGATTTTTACGATAATCATGACCAGTATCTTCGACATCGGAATCGGTAACACGTTCACGACACTTGAGATCAACCGAAGAGGAATTATTGGAATTTTGTGCTTCATGTTGTTGATGGTATAAATTTGTATTACTGCTGCTGTTGTTGTTGCTGCTACTATTATTACACATTTCCTGTTCATCATGATCTTCGTCAATGACCATCTAATAAAGTTGAAGAAAACAAAAGAGGATAATCAGTTAAGATAAATGGTCAAATCTTCTATAGAAAAAATTGTAAAAGTACGACTTTTCTACAGTAAATGTTGTTATCGGACATCATCTCTATAGAAAATATTGTTATCGGACATCTTTTGTATAGAATAGTTTGTTATCGAACATCTTTTCTACAGAAAAGCTTGTTATCGAACATCTTATCTATAGAAAAGGCCGTTATCAGGCAACTTTTCTAAAGAAAAGATTTTTATCGGAAAACTTTTCTATTGAAAAGGATGTTATCGTACAACTCTGCTATCGAAAGATTGTTATTGGACATCTTTTCTATAGAGTAGGTTGTTATAGGACATCTTTTCTGTAGAAAAAATGGATCTCGGACAACTTTTCTATAGAAAATGTTGTTATCGGACAACTTTTCTATAGAAAATGTTGTTATCGGACAACTTTTCTATAGAAAATGTTGTTATCGGACAACTTTTCTATAGAAAAGGCTGTCACCGGACACGTTTTCTATAGAAAATGTTTTTATCGGTCATATTTTTCATAGAAAAGGTTGTTATCGGACAAATTGTTTATAGAAAATGTTGTTATCGGGCATCCTTTCTATAGAAAATGTTGATATCAGGCATCATTTCTATAGAAAAGGTTGTTAACGGGTATTTTTTCTATAGAAAAGGTTGTTATCCGACAACTTTTCTATAGAAAAAAGGTTGTTATCGGACAACTTTCCTATAGAGACAAGCTTGTCACCGGACAAATTTTCTATCGAAATGTTTTTTATCGGACTTGAAATTTATTTTAAATAAACATTTTTTCTCTTTTTCGTGCCCAATTATTATACTCCTGTTCCTCACCTGTTCTTCTTCCGATGTAATATCCAATTTCATTGGCTCTTCTTTAATACATTTCTGTGCCGATAAATGATGACTATTAATTGTCGTTGGATCCGATTCCGTGCACGAAGTATTATATGTTGCAATGGTCAATGGAATAATATCAGTTTGCATATCATTTCCAGAATTCGGTCCACCGGCATTAGGGCCACCGACACCACCATTTGCAGCAGGATTACCATTGTTATTAAATGATCCAGAGCCGGTATAACAACCAGGTGTGGTGGGACTATGTTCTTGATCTATAGAATCTGAGCCATCAATGGAATCGAGACGATATTTTAAATCACCGTTACCTCCACCTGCTGTTGTAGAACTACCGGTGGCATTTGCGTTTTGGCCACCGCCACCAGCTGTACCGCTACCTTTACTCGAACTCGATGATTTACGTCGATCTTTATTACACCACTTCCAATCGGGATGTAATTTGAAATGGGCATCCTTATAAGAGGAAGCCAATTCATTGTAGGGTGCCTTCTCTTCTGGTTTTAGGGCATACCACCATTCACCTAAGATTTTACTAACCGTACGATTATCTTGATTCGGGTGTTTTTTGTGTACCAATTTACGATGTTTTTTGGAGAATATCATAAAAGCATTCATGGGACGTCGTATTTTGCTCTGTAGAAGAAAGGTTATTTCGAAATTAAATGTAATAATAATGTAAGGAAATAGAGTGAATGAGAGAGAGAGGGGAAGTGAACGACAATTGCTTACCTTTGTCATGGGACTCATGGGTTCCTTACAGCTATTACCCGATGTTTCACCAGGCCCATTTGCATTTCCAGCTCCTCCTCCTCCAGCTGCTGCAGCAGCATTTTGCTGTTGCTGCAAAGCACTTAGGGATTGGGAGCGCCTTTTGGAGGCCCCACTACCACCACCTGCATGATGATGGGTCGTAGTTGTTGTTGCCGTTTCACGTCCATCATTTACCTCATTGTTTCCAACACCTCTTCGACCACCACCACTCGTTGTTGTTTCACCTGCCGCTGAGCTACTGTAAATATTAGGCCGAAAACCTCCACTGCCCTTTATTATGTTGTTGTAGTGTTGCTGTTGTTGTTGCTGCTGATCATTATTAAAACGTTCCAGTCGTTTGTTTTTAATACTCAAATTACTGGCGGTCATGTTGACGCTGCCGCTGCTGGTGTTTTCGTTTTTCGGCGATGGCTCAAAGACATCATCATCCAATTGATCATCGATGTCATCGGCGGAATTTGTTAAATCGGATGCCGATGAGGCCATGGCTGAATTTTTATTGGCGTCACTTAAATTTAAGGGATTTCCGGAACCAGGAGATGGCATGGATTGTTTGATGGTGATGTGACCATTGTTGTTGTTGTTATTCACTGGCATATGTTGATGGTGATGGGATGCTGATGACGCTGAGGAGGATGGTGGTGGTGGCGTTGATGCTGCTGCCTCTGTGGTATTGGAAATGGTCGGTGAGGGTGTGGGTGGCACAATACCGGCTAATGAATAATTTGTGGCTGTTTGTTGGGTTTTAACGGGGGACTGATGGATATGAGGCAGCAGCGTATGCCAGTGAAAAATCGACCCCGCATTAATGCCGTTTTTTGGAATAGATTGTTGTTGTTGTTGCTGTTGATGATGGGGAGGTGTATTATTTTGTGCTTTAACCTGTTGTTGTTGCTGCTGTTGCAAGGGCAACAATGTTGCTCCACCGCCAACTGCTGCATTCTGCATTCGCATTTGATTCAATGAGATTGCTGCAGCATGGTGTTGTTGTTGTTGCTGCTGTTGAATACCCTGAATTGAGTTGAGTCCAGTATTTTGTGGCTGTGGCGAAGGTGATGATTGTTGCCGTTGTTGATGGGCCGGTAGCGATGGTATTAATTGTGTGGCATCCACAATAACGGGATGAAATGACTGACCACCACCAGCAGCAGCAGATGCCTGGGCCTGTATCAATGCTGCATTGGTCATGTTTGTGGCTGTAGTTGAGGAAGCAGCTGCCGCTGGTGATATCCTTATGACACTTGTGGCATGGGCCATTGATGTAATTGTTGCTGAGCCAGTTGAATGACCAACTCCCGCTGATGACGCCGACGACGATGTAATAACCATGGGAGGAGGTGGCGGCCCCGGTGATATTGAAGCCTGCAAATGATGATGCTGTTGTTGTTGTTGAGGTGTCAAGGGTAAATGTGGCGACATAATTGGCTGTTGTGGTGGTGTGGACACCACTGCAGGCTGTTGCTGCTGATGCATTACCATTGACACTGGTGATTGTTGAGGTGGTGGTGGCGGTGCTGGCACTGTTGTTACCGAACTACTGCTGTTATTGGCTCTAACCGATTCGGGGCATATCACCTGAGGACCATAGGCACCCATAACATTATACATGACCGGTGACGGTGTAGCCTTCCACTTGTTGGCGTGGGCGTCTTGTGAATGCGTTACCGGTCCACCACCAATGGGTGTAAAGAAATTCTGGCGGTTGGTGGCCACCACCGGTGGCACGGGAGAATTATTGGCATTCATGGGTGAGGTGCCATGATTGACGGGCGATGAATATGAGGGTGTGCCGGAACGGGAACTACCCAGGGATACTGCAGGAATAAAACATAAACATTAAAATTAAAATACAATTTTAGATTATAAAAAATATTTATTTTAAAAATCTTTTTGCACACATACACAAACACTGTAGATAGAGTTTTGCGCCCAAATCGAAATCCTGAAAAGCATGCATTTTCTTGTATTTTTCCCTTCTTCCACTTTTTGTTTGTCAAGTTAAGTCTACACAATTATTTTACAATTTTTAAGGATTCTATATCCAATTTTAGTTTTGAGACTTCCTTGTTCAAAAAATATAATACAATTTTATTTGTATTTTATACAATTTTTTTATTTTGTTAAAAAAGGGGAAAACTGCACTGCACTTCACTTCATTTTCTTCTTTTCTTGATCAACTTGTTCTTCTTCCATGCTTGCTATTGCTTTTGCCATTGTCCAAAAAAGTCATTGGCTTCTGTATTATTTTCAAAGGGACAGAGCGAAAAACAACGGGTTTTTTTTTGGAATTTGTCATTGATTGTTGCTGATTTGTTGTTGTAGTGTTGGCCAGAGTGTGATGGCATTATCACACCAAATCGAAAGCTATTAGTGTTGCCAACAACACTTTGGAAACACGAATATTAAAATATCAGTGATACCAACCATGATCAGACAACAGTTACCGAGGCTAATAAAGCCTGTACAAATTCAGTTTTTTTATTACAGAGGACTAAATATATACATATATCTTGTTGAGGCTCAGAAAGGTGCACCTTTAAAGTCTAAAGTTAAGATTAGGTTAAATGTGTGAAACCCTTGACCGGTCGATTACCAATAACGTAGTGTTTTTGCTGCTCGACTACGCATATTTCCATTTTATTGGCTACGTCAATATGCAATATTGTCCTATCTGGTACGGAAACCCCAAACGTTACATTTAAGAAGCATCTATATATTTATTGAAGAAGACCTTCAGCTATTCTATGAAGAAGACCTCGCGGCCCTTTTAAGGAAGACGACTTCCTGCTCTTTTATAAAAGAAGGCCTCCTGCTCTTCTATGAAAGTAGATGTCAAGCACTTCTATGGAAGAAGACCACAAATTCTTCCATGGAAGAAGACCTCCAGATCTTCTATGTAAGAAGACCTCCAGCTATTCTATGTAAGACGATCTCCTGCTATTCTACTAAAACATAATGATTTTATATGAGACTTCCTGTTCTTCTATGACAAAACCTCATATAAACCTTGACTAATATATCATCTTTTACAATGTCAGAACATTCTTTCTTAGAACAAATCAGCATCTACCCGTGGAACATCAGACAGTATCAAAAGATCTTCTATAGAAAGTCAAACATATCTTCGTCTTAGTTTTTTTTTTATTTTTTCTTTCTCAATCTATAATCAACATTTTATTTATAAACAACTCACCCAACATATTGGCGACATCCGTTTCTTCCTGATCAAAACGACCAGTAATACGATAATTTGGTGACGTTTCCGAATCACGAGATGTATCCTCATCGATTTGAGTTTTACTGCTAGAACGGCTGCTAATATCACTGGAAAAACGAAAAAAACATACAACCAAAAATTACTTTCAAACTCAATTTTATTATCTGCCGAAACCCTTATCCCTTACCTTGGAAAACGACTCGGTCCCGAGGAACGCAACGAATTGCCCTTCTGATTGAGATGGCGCGAACAGAACCCTCGACGTTGAGATTCTTTCGAACATAGCGAACACAATCGACGCCATTGTTTGCCATTGAATTTTTTGCGTACGCCCGATTCGGATTCGACAATATCGCCTTTTTTGAAGCGATGCGGCGTATTTGCTTGAGATCGTGGAGTAGCTGGATGAGATCGTGGTGTTAGCCTCTGTTCAAGTGCTGATGATGAGCTGCCGCGACTTTGCATACTGCTGCGTTTACTGCCGCCGGATAGCTTTTCCGGATCGGCATCGGTCAGCGATGCATAGCCGCCAATGTCAACACGTTTCAGTTCTTCATCGGAATCGTATGAGTCATCGTAGGCGGCGGGTGTGGCAGAATTTGATTGTGTGACAACTGTGGGGTTGGTGGTGTTGGAACGATGTTGTTGTGATTGTTGTTGTTGCTGCTGCTGCTGATGACGTATTTGTCGTCGATGTTGTTGTATTAGCAGTTCTTCAGATGTCTTAGCATCGATTCCACCAGCATGATGTGATTGTGTATGATGATGTTGAGTTTGGTGGTGGTGGTGCTGCTGCTGCTGATGATGATGACCATCACCCGCCAGCAACTGTTGTTCCGCTTCAACACAACCATTTGCAGTGTTTTGCAATATATAGGCATTATGTTGCTGCCCTCCACCACCACCACTACCACCTGTTGTCACCACCACATTACCACCACTGCCATTGACAATATTCCCTCCGGCCGTTTGAAATGGTGATGTTGCAATGGTCCTATAATAATCATCGGGTTTTTGTTGCGTTGTCACCGTATGCTGACCCGATGAACGTTGCAGAACTACAGTTCCACTGTTGGGAGTTACAATTTTATTATTGATATAGGTGGTCAATTGATGATGTGGGGGTTGTTGTTGTTGCTGTTCCTGATGATGTCCATGCTGCTGCTGCTGCTGATGATGTTGATAAATGTGTTGCTGTTGGTGTTGTCCATGAAGAGCAGTGGGCGTTTTATTGCCCTGATGAGGATGATGATTCATCGGATATTGTACCGTTGTCGTTGTGGCAACAAGTGTTCGTCGCGATTGTGGCGATGATACTGCCGTTGCGACTTTTTTGTTGCTGACTGTCGGTGTTATTGTCTGCAGTGGCGATACCTCATTTAGTTCATCCCACCAGGGCGGTAACAGTAAACGTAAATCGGCACGTTTTACAGTGTTTAACTGGAAGTTGGAGGAAAAAAAAAAACAAAAATCGATTAGTGAGGTTAGATCTACATAGTAGGTTAGGTCATGTATTTAATTGTTAAATAGTAAAAAGGGGCCTTTTGATCGCATATAAGAGAAGAAGAAAGAGAGCTTCATTTAAGGGTCTTCTCATAGAAGACCTAAGGGTCTTTTCATAGAAGGGTCTTCTCATAGAATATAGAAGAACTAAGGATGTTCTCATAGAAGACCTAAGGGTATTCTCATAGAAGAACTAAGGGTTTTCTGATAGAAGACCTAAGGATATTTCTATAGAAGACCTAAGCAGAGAAGACCTTTTCATAGAAGACCTAAGGGTCTTCTCATAGAAGAACTAAGGATGTTCTCATAGAAGACCTAAGGGTATTCTCACAGAAGAACTAAGGGTCTTCTAATAGAAGACCTAAGGATATTTTCATAAAAGACCTAAGAATCTTCTAATAAAAAAAGTAACTAAGGATCTTCCCGTAATAGACCCAACGGCTCTTCTCAAAGAAGATCAATTGGGTTTTCTCATAGATGACCAATGAAACCCAAAGGAAGATTAAGTTCAATGCATAGAATTGGCCTTCCTAATTAATTCCAAAAAGGTCTTCTTAGGGGCTATCAGAAAATCCCTTCTTAGAACTCCAGAATTTGTTTTCATCCTTCATACTAAAAAAAACTACAAAACTTCCTCCCCCATTCCCCCGCTCTTCTTTTGTCTATTATAAACATAAATCCCCAAAAAATGTTAACTTACAATTGCTGCTCCAGTTTCCGTAGTTCCAATTTGTACTGTAAACTGTTTCGTTGCTGGATGTACTTCGACAACGGTACCCTCAACAAATACACAACCATCGCGGCCCTCTACGGATGTTCGCACACAGACACGTGTATCCTCCAAAAGCTAAAAAAAACATAAGAAGAGGAAAATCAAACGATTTCATTTTTTATGTTTTCCTTTTGGGTGTAAAGGAAGATGATAGCGATGGGGATAACCTACATCAGCCGCTGGTGGACTTGCGTCCAATATCACATTAAAACGCCCACTATTAAGTACATCGGTATATAGGTGTGTACTATTTTCTGGTGGATCAAATTCGACAATAATTGAATTTGGTGGCACATCGATGATGGCGGCATTTGGCGATGTTGATGATGACGATGCGGACGTGGACGATGATGAGGACAACAGGGCAGCAGACGGTTGACGTGTTACACCCGGGGCATAGTAGTTTTTCAATTTGGCCAGTACCCGTGTATTAATCCAATCACTTAGATTAAGTACAATCTCATCGTTGGTCGATGTGGACGTGGACATGGATGTGGAAGAGGCGAAGGAGGAGGATGCGGTGGAACAGGACATAGAAGATGATGTGTTAACAACATTTGCAGATATTGTTATTGTGTTTGTTGTTGGTTGGGGTGCTGTGGACACCACACTTAATGATTGATGATGATGTTGTTGTTGTTGCTGCTGCTGCTGCTGTAAATGATGCGACATTTGTGACTGTTGCCCCCCAGTAGTGTTGTTGGTGTGGTTGTTGCTATTCAAAGCAACAACATGCATCTGTGGGTGTTTGTTGTGAGTTGTTTGCGGTTGTTGTTGTTGTTGTTGCGGTTGGTGTACAAAATTATATCGTTGTCCAGCAACATTATTTTGTTGATTACTATTGTTGTTGATGTTGTTGCTATTGTTATTACTGCCATTTGTTGGTGTTGTTGTGTTTGTGGTGTTCATAGAATTGTTGTTGTTGCTATTGCTACCGCTTGCATTGTTGTTGTCATTAATCACATATTGTTGTTTGCTGTGTACAGACGACGTTGTCGCACCACCTCCGCTCGCATGAGAACTGTAAGGGGAAAAATTGGAGAGAGAGCGTTTTAAAAAGGGAACAGTAATACAAAAAAGAGAAGGGGATGTTATTAACATAATAAGAAAAAAATTATGCGCTTCATTTAAATAATATAATTAATCCAAAAAATACATTATTTGCGATATTCAGAATGCTGTACATCGTTATCCGTAAAACTTGTATAATTTGTTTGAGTTTTTCTAATCAGATAAATGTCCATAAGCTGAGATATATGTTGCTAATATTCTATACGAAAACTAACATTAATATTTCATCCGACTATATTATCCAAATAGTAATTTATCCGTGTTATCCGGATGAGATAAATGCATCATTTAGGTTATCTGAATGAACCAAAGTCATTATCTAAGACCGAAAATATTTTATCCGTTTAATCCAAATAATGCAAATCGATTATCCGCGCTATCTAAATGACAAAAACCGCGTTATCCGCGTTATACAAACAATGTAAATATTTTATCCGAGGTAACCAAAAAGCGTATATATTTTATCCACTCTGAAAATCGATTAACCACGTTATCCAAATAATGTATCCGTGTTATACGTATTAGATAAATATTTCATCTGTTTTTTCTGAATGAGCCCAAACACAAATTTTCCAAATATATACATCAATTATCGACGTTATCCAAATAATTAAAAAAATATCAATGATATCCTAATTATAAATACGTTTTCTGGGTTCTCCGAATGAGCCCAAATCATGATCAAAAGTTGTAAATATTTTATCCACTTTATCCAAATAATAGAAATTGATTATCCATATTATCCCAAAAACGAAAAATACTTAATCCGTGTTATCCCCATAACACAAAACGTTTATCAGGCGTTATCCAAATGATGTAAAACATTATCCGTGTTATCCGAAAGGCATTAAAACATTATCCGCTTTATCCAAATGACGTAAAAATCTTATCCGCGTTATCCGAGTGTCATTAAGACGTTATCCGATGTATCCAAATGTTGTAAACACATTATCCACTTTATCCAAATGACGTAAAAATATTATCCGTGTTTTCTAAATGACATAAAAATATTATCCACGTTATCCGAATGACGAAAAATTATATCCGTGTTATCTAGATGATATAAAAATATTATCCGCGTTATCCGAATGAAGTAAAAACATTATCCGTGTCATCTAAATGATATAAAAATATTATCCGCTTTATCCAAATGACGTAAAAATATTATCCGCTTTATCTAAATAGCCTAAAAATATTATCCGCGTTATCCAAATGATGTAAAAACATTATCCGCGTCATCTAAACTAAATACACATATTATCCGCGTTACCCGAAGGTCTTTAAAACATTATTCCTTTTATCCAAATGACGTAAAAATATTATCCGTTTTATCCAACTGACCTAATAATATTACCGGCATTATCCAATTGACGTAAATATATTATCCGCGTTATCCAAATGACGAAAAAAGTATTATCCGCGTTATCCGTTTTGCCCAAATGATGTAAAACATTATCCGCGTTATCTAAACTAAATTATCCGAGTTATCCAAATGACGGAAAACTATTATCCCAGTTATCCAAATGACACTAAAAGGACGAAAGAAATTATTCGTCCTCCCAAATGACGTAAAACATTATCCGCGTTATCCGAAGGTCTTTAAAACATAATTCGTTTTATCCAAATGGAGTAAAAATATTATATGTGTTATCCAACTGACGTAAATTGACGTAAAAATATTATCCGCGTTATCCAAATGACGAAAAAACTATTATCCGCGTTATCCGTTTTGTCCAAATGATGTAAAAACATTATCCGCGTTATCTTAAGTAAATACAAATATTATCCGCGTTATCCGAAGGTCATTAAAACATTATCCGAGTTATCCAAATGACGGAAAACTATTATCCGAGTTTTCCAAATGACACTAAAAGGACGTAAGAATGTTATTTTAGTTCCCAAATGACGTAAAACATCCATTTTGCCCAAATGATGTAAAAACATTGTCCGCGTTATCTAAACTAAATACAAATATTATCCGCCTTATCTGAAGGTCAGTAAAACTTTATCCGCGTTATGCAAATGTTATTAAAACATTATCCGCTGTATTTAAATGGCGTAAAAATATTATCCACGTTATCCGAATGACATTAAAACATTATCCGGATTATTTAAATGACGTAAAAATACTACCCGTATTATCCAAAAGACGTAAAATATTATCTGCGTTATCCAAATGACGTAAAAATTTTATCCGCTTTATCCGAGTGTCATTAAGACGTTATCCGCTGTATTCAAATGATGAAAACACATTATCCACTTTATCCAAATGACGTAAAAATATTATCCGTGTTATCTAAATGACATAAAAATATTATCCGCGTTATCCAAATGACGTAAAAACATAATCCCCTTTATCCAAATGACGAAAAATTATATCCGTTTTATTTAAATGGTATAAAAATATTATCCGCGTTGTCCAAATGACGTAAAAACATTATCCGTGTTATCTAAATGATATAAAAATATTATCCGCTTTATCCAAATGACGTAAAAACATAAACATAACTTTATCCAAATAACGAAAAATTATATCCGTGTTATCTAGATGATATAAAAATATTATCCGCGTTATCCGAATGAAGTAAAAACATTATCCGTGTCATCTAAATGATATACAAATATTTTCCACGTTATCCAAATGACGTAAAAATATTATCCGTTTTAACTAAATAGCCTAAAAATATTATCTGCGTTATCCAAATGATGTAAAAACATTATCCGCGTCATATAAACTAAATACACACATTATCCGCGTTATGCGATGGTCTTTAAAACATTATCCGTTTTATCCAAATGACGTAAAAACATTATCCGTGATATCCAACTGACCTAATAACATTACCGGCATTATCCAATTGACGTAAAAATATTATCCGCGTTATCCAAATGACGAAAAAAGTATTATCCGCGTTATCCGTTTTGCCCAAATGATGTAAAAACATTATCCGCGTCATGTGAACTAAATACACATATTATCCGCGTTATCCGAAGGTCTTTAAAACATTATTCGTTTTATCCAGATGACGTAAAAATATTATCCGTGGTTTCCAACTGACCTAATAATATTACTGGCATTATCCAATTGACGTAAAAATATTATCCGCGTTATCCAAATGACGAAAAAAGTATTATCCGCGTTATTCGTTTTGTCCAAATGATGTAAAAACATTATCCGTAAAAACATTATCCGTTATCTAAACTAAATACAAATATTATCCGCGTTATCCGATGGTCATTAAAACATTATCCGTTTTATCCAAATGACGGAAAACTGTTATCCGAGTTATCCAAATGACGGAAAACTATTATCCCAGTTATCCAAATGACACTAAAAGGGCGTAAGAATATTATCCGCGTTATCCAACGTAAAAAGATTATATATTATCCGCCTTATCTGAAGGTCATTAAAACATTATCTATATTATTTGAATGACGTATATTATTTATCCGCGTTAACCAATTCAAGTAAAATCATTATCCGCGGTATTAAAATGACACAAAACGTATTATCCGAGTTATCCAAATTGGTCAAAATGTGTATGTCATTATTGAAAAAACGTTATCCAAATGATGTTAAATAAATTATCCACGGCATCCATTTCCAGAAGAAATATTATCCGCATTATCAATATGACATTTAAACATTATCCGTATTATCCAAATACTCTAAAATTATTATCCACTACTAAAAAAAATTATCCAAATGACGTCACAAGTTTATCCGATTTATCCAAATGATGCAGAGACATTATCCAAACAACATAAATCATTTATCCGTGATGTAAAAAAAAAACAAAAAAATTATCCATATTATCCGAATATCACAAATCGATTATCCCACAATAATCCATTCAGTGTTTATCCCGACTACTTACCTTGTTATAATTGTACGTTTTTCGGGTATTTCCATGCATGTACTGGCCTTGGAGGCAATTGATACCAGAGGCCCGCTACCGGTATCATTGTTGTTGTTGTTGCTGTTATTATGAGCCAAGGATGTTGAGGTGGCAGCACCACCCGTTGATCCACCTCCTGGAGATGGCGAACCAAATGTTGTTGTGCGCAATGTATAAATACCTAACCCACCGCTGCCTTCCCTGTCTATGGCACCATTTGTGGTGGTGGCGGTAACTGTAACACCACCATAGATTGTTGCACCATCTCTGGCATTGTTGTTGTTGTTGGTGCCACCATTACTTGAAGTGCTGCCGTTGCTGCTAATGGCTGTTGCTGCATCAACCACATTTGTTGTGTAGGAGTTGTTGCTATTAATTGAGGGGGAGGAGGTGATGGCGGTGGGGTTTGCAACAGTACTGGAGGATTTAATCTCTGTCGGTGTGCCACCATTACTGCTGTTGTGGTTGTTGTGTGCCGCATTTGTGTCTTGTTTGACCTGCTGCGGCTGTGACGACGACTGCTGTTGATTATCATTGGCCTCATCCAATTCGGATGGATCAAATTTACGTTTCTTTGGATGCTGTCGAGGTATAGAGGCGGCAGGGCCACTGCATGAAGACGATGTTGTCGCTGTTGTGGTGCTAGTGCTGTTTGCCTGAGTCGCTGCATAAGACGCTTGGGCAACATCTTGGTGCAGTTGTTGTTGCTGATGATTTTGTGGTTGCTGTTGCTGATGTTGGTTGTGGTGGTTACCCAGAGATGTCGCTGTTTGCTGTTGAGACGATAATGATGACGACGACGACGACGTGGTACTGCTGCTGTTGTTGTTGTTGTCATTTGATGCTGATGATACTGCTGCTGTTGTTGCCACCGCCGTTGATGGTGTTACCATTTTGTGGGCGTTTTGGCGGCTTTGTTACAACAGCAAGGCTGGTGTCCGATTGCCACACCGCCGGCTCTTCGGGGTTTGGAACCCAAACAAATAATTATTGTTGGCCGTAATGTGTCTTCTTCTTTGTTTATGGGAATTATTACTTCCAAGGGTTGCCTGCTATGCTCCGCAGCACAATAATTAGTTAATTATTTATTTTCTATTATATAATACTGATGATAACGTCCTCTGAAATCTACGTCCATGTGTGTGTGTTTCGTGTGGCATAGACTTCAGACGGGGAATCCAGTCGTAAATTAGAATGTTATGAGAAGTCGGGCATTGTAAGCAGCATTCGTTGTTGTTGTTGTTGCGACGACATTCGACACTGACGATATTGCAGCCACATTTTCAGTGCTGCAATAATCATGTCGTTGTTGCTGGGTTTGTAACAATCAACCAACGGCCAATCAGGTGATACAAGTTGTTTAGATATGGGTTCGGAATTTCAACATCTTGGATGTATGCAGATATCGAGAGAGTGACCCCGTTGTTTGTGATCCCTAGACACCACGGTAATCTGTAAGAGAAAAAGAGGAAGAGAGAATATTGTATTGTATGCAAAGAAAAAGATTTCAAAATTGTACGAATAAAACCAGTGAGCGGAGAAGTATAGTCGGACGGGGCCGATCATATGATACCCTATACAACTTCCACGAAAAACTAACTTTCTGTGGATCTATATTCTGAGCTTGGGCAATATTTCGCGATTTTTGAACCAACCAGAGGCCGACAATTATTACTAATGTCCAGTACAGCCCTTCTAATTACTTGTCCAGATTCCCTTCCCTTGTGTTGTGATCTTCTTATTCCCATTGGAGAATTAAGTTTTCGGTCCACTTCATCACAGTATAATTATCTGATCGTCGCCGAAAATTGTAGGCGTTATCCTTGGCCATAACTGGAACTTGATGGAACATTTTAAAGCGATCAGCGCTATATTTCCGCCCTCTAGTGTGGTAAAGGGTTACTAAATAATATCTTAATACATAAGCACCTGCAAATATTTAAGTGCAACTCCCACATCTGAGTACATATGACCATATAATTGGTATCAATTTAAAGGTCAAGCACTGCCCTTGGACGTATCAACAACTTTTTGGGTCTATGTCCTTCAGAGGTAAATATATACGCTATAGAATACAATTTTTGTAATTTTTCACACAAAAATCAGGGTCCATTTGACCCGCTAAATATTGACCGATCCTTATCAAAACAAGCATGGTTATTCTTTGGCCCGATCCCCTTCTCTATGTTTGGGTCATAATTGCGGCCTCTGGAGCGAACAGAAAACCCGATAAAAATGAAGTATTTGGTCCATTTGATCCCCTAGATATTAAACGATCTTTACCAAAAACAATAGGGGTCTTCATTGGCCAGATCCCTCCTACATGCAAAATTTCGTGAAGATTGGTCCAAAACTGTGGCCTGTATCGTGTTTACAAAATATAATGGACAGACGGACGGACAAACATGTCTAGATCGACTCAGCTAGTCGAGATATAATCATATTCTACATATAATCATATTCTGACTTAGCCCCCCTAATAATCATAATCGCGTCTTATTTTCGGTATTTTGAGGAGTTCCCTATGGACGCAGGCCATACAGGTTGTAACTTTGCTTATTTTGGAATCAGATAGACAATACATCATTAATTCTCTTGTTGTACTTCAGTTGCTACAACAACAACCACAACTAGTGGCAATTCTCAGTTGGCGAAAATTTGAAGTTATTTTCAACTCTTTCAGAGAGTATTGCTTCAATTTTTATATTTCCCATGAAAATACCTTCGAAGTTTTTTTATTTAAATTTTTTATTCATTGCTTTTCTATTTTCCCCAACTTTAGATGCAGTCTTTTTTTCTATTTCCATTTTTTTTTATTTTCCTCTCAATTCTATGACTCACTTCTCTCTAAAGGACTGGGAGTCCATGATGGTTGGGATGGTGATGACGAACCAACCAACCAACCAACTCATTATGTTGTATGATGCAAACACACAACAACAACAACATCAACCATATTTATTGACATTTTTTTTTCATAAAATAAATTATACGATGACTCAGCTCCATTTTACATCGATATTTCTATGTCATAAAAAATTGTTTGTGTTCATCAAAGGTAGTTGTAGTGTAAAAGAGACCTGAAGAAGTGAAATATGCCAATGAGTCACCCTTTTCATGCTTTTATTGAAAATTTTCCCCTCAATTCCAATTGGAAAACCATGTATAAAGAAATAATCTCAAGGCCCATCTCTACGAAGAAGATCCCCTCTCTTAAAGTTTTCTGCTGTTAAAAAAAACGGAAACAAAATGTTTTCCGAATTTTCTTACCCTCCACCATAGTATGGAGGATATATTAATGTTGTCATTCCTCTTGTAACTCATCGAACTATTCATTTCCTAACCTATAAAATAAATATATATTCTTGATCAGGGTAAAATTCTAAGACGATCTAGCCCTGTCCGTCCGTACGTCTGTTGTAATCACAATATCTTCTGAACGAATTGAGATAGGGTGCTGAAATTTTGCAAAGGTTTGTCTTTTATCTGCAGGCAGGTCATGTTCGAAGATGGTCCATATCGGTCGTCTAAGTTTAGGCATAGCTCCCATATAAGGGTTCACCCTACTTTTCGGAATTTCTTGGTTCTTGGGAACGTTTTTCAACCGAATTCGCTGAAATTTGATTCATTAGGTTCTTATTGGGTACTAAATGTCTCCACTAAAAATTATAAATATAGGACAACTTTTTTCTGGTACCCCCCATATAAAGGTACCTCCTAATGATCCGTATTTTGATCGTGTTTTTCCACCGAATTGGCTGAAATTTAGTATTTTGAGCTCTTAATAGATACCAAATCTCTCCACAAAAAAATAAGAATATAGATCATTTTTTTCGGATAGCCCCCATATAAGGGTTCACCCCAAATTTTCGGAATTTGTTGGTTCTCGGGAGTGTTTTTCATCTGAATTCGCTGAAGTTTCATATATTAGGTTCTTATTGGGTACTAAATGTCTCCACAAAAAATTATATGGTACCCCCCATATAACGGTACCTCCTAATTTTCAGTATTTTGGGGGTTTTTACCGTATTTTTCCACCGAATTGGCTGTAATTTAGTATGTTGAGTTTTTAATAGGTACCAAATTTCTCCACAAAAAATTAAGAATATGGTTCCATTTTTTCTAATAGCCCCCATAAAAGGGTTTTGGTTCTCTGGTGCGTTTTTCAATCGAATTTGTTGTAATTTGGTATTTTGTAGTCGTATATGGTAACAAATCTTCCTTCAAAAAATTATTTATAGTCGCCCCCTTTTAGGGGTAGTCCCCATATAACCCCCCTTCTTATATTAAAATAGTTACTTCCGTGTGTAGGAGTTGTCCCCTATACCATAGTATAGGTGATAGTCATTATTCGAAATAGGCAGTTTTGCCCTACATATTATGGAATTCTAAGACGATTTAACCATCGGTTGTAATCATTCCATTTTCTGAGGAAATCGTGATAAAAAACTAGAACCTGACGATCAGCAACGTATACAGGATTTCATTTCGGGAGGGGGAGGGGGGCCCTGTAGTACAAAATGAAAAAAAAACGCTGTTGCAAACATAAATTTACTGTGAAAAAAAATTCTTTTCGGGGGCATTTAACAACTCCCCCATATAATTATGCCTCCTGAAGAAAATAATTGAGACACAAAACAAAAATATTGGGTTCAAAATTGACTAATATCAGTCATTAAATAGGCATCATATAATTTTGTACAAAAATGTTTGTTTTTAAGAGAACCTATTTTTTCCTCTCTTTCTCTTCTCCTCGTTGATGCTATTTTTTTTTCAAATTTTTTTGATTCTCACTAATTGTGGATATTTCTTCCGATTTCTATTGATAAACTGTAAATTAATTTTGGCTAATGCTATCCTTATGGACTGCTGGCTGAATGGCTCAAAAGAACCTATTTGCAATGTTCATCACTGAAAAACTTTAAATACCAATAAATAATATCTCTTATTTATATTGTACTAATTCCAAAGAGTCATATACAGATGCAAGCCTATGATTTTCTACTACTCTTTTCTCATGTGAGAGAATATATATTTTGGCTGGTGATAATTCATTTTATTAGAGTTGATCATTATGCCAATACCAACTATTATCACACCGGAAGGTCATCATCCATCTATCAAAATAATTTAATTAATGTTTCTTCTATTTTTTATTACTAGAATAATTCTTTAAATGAAAAGAAAAAAGGCTTCTAAACGGGCTTACTCTTTATATCCCCCCACTTCTCTTACTATTATAACTCATTAAGCATAGAAACAGTGAGAGAGTGAGCAGCACATTAAGTAGGCTGCTGTGTGTAATACGAACTACACAAACAACACACACCCACGTCAACAACAAGTAACCATTGCAGAAAAAAACAACAACAAAAAACTACCGCAATGAGAGTGAGTAAAGCAGCAGTAGTAGTAGTGAGTAGTGGTGGAGTAACAACAACAACAATAAAACATGTTATGCATGATGATTATTTTGTTCCCCACCAATGGGACAGAAAACAAAAGATCTATTCATGTAATATAGAGAGGAGTGCTACAATTAGAGGGAGAGAGAGATAGACAAAGAACTCTCCATCAAAATCAACAGTAAGTGCATGCACATTGATAGAATCATAATAATGTATTGTTATTCAATTAGCAGTAAAGAAGGAAGAAAGGAGGGTGGGTGGAGGGGGGTATGTGCTGCTGCTCTCAATAGCGGTGCATAACTAAATAGCAAATAAAAAGCAAC